TGCAGCTCCTTTTCTTTTAGTTCCTGCCAACTATGAAAAAACAAAAAGCCCTTTAAACTGCTGAATGCACCAGTGTCCACAAAACCCATGTGTAGTGTTGTTTTGTTGAAGGCTTGGTCATTCCAAAATACACGAGACTTAATGTGTGTGTTTCTCTTGTCATGCAGTTATAATCATCATCGATCGTTCGTTGTTGTCGGCGCATATCAGCTGCAAAAGGCGGCTCACCGTTACATGGGTATAGCCAATATTGTTCCATACCAAGACCTGGGCAACAGCAACTACGAAAATGACATTGCTCTGATCAAGCTGAAGAAACCGATTACATTTTCAAAAGATGTTGCACCAGTGGCTCTGCCTGACAAGGATGACACCTTTGGTCCATCATCTGAGTGCTGGATCACTGGCTGGGGGGAAGTGGGAAATGGTGGTAAGTTAAGCACAGAAAGTAGGCTTTAAAATGTTCACGCTGTAAAAGGCAGGCTCACAGATCCATTGTAAATTGCCATACTGTCACCAGTAAACTGTATTTAATTGTGTATAAACATAGCCTACGTCCATACTTTGCATAGTAAGGTACTTCACAGATAAGAAACATCACCTTTCTGTCACTTCCATACTTTTCCTGTGTGTCCACAGTTCCACTGAAAGCTCCAGAAACACTTCAGCAGCTCAAGATTTCCATCATCTCTCAGAGTACCTGTAAGGAGAGGCTTTCTCAGATAGCCTCTAATACACTATGCACAAATGACAGCAAGGGAAGGGGTGCCTGCAAAGTGAGTTTTTCCCTTTTTTTTAGTCTTTTGCATTTAATCAAATGGATTATTACCACTTTGAAATAAACAAACACTTTTTGATTTATCACACATGAAGTACTTTACTTTCACTCAGCTGAATTGACAGAAACTAGTAGTTACTCGTTACTTTGGAGTTTATTGTTAAATCTAAGTCCAAGTTGTGTGTTTTGCTTCCACAGGGAGACTATGGTGGTCCACTGGTGTGCCGTAAAGGGGGGAAATTAGTTCAGGTGGGAGTCATGAGTTCTGGTGGTTGTGGCCCCAAGGACGGCCCTGGCGTCTGTACTGAGGTTGCAAAGTATCTGACCTTCATAAACGACTACATCCACCGTCCTGGGAAAGCTCCAGCTGAGATGTGAACTCCTCAGAAACCGACACTGCCCGCTGTACTCATCTCATAAGCTGTCTTACTTTTAGCTTCTTTCCTGTAAAGCACTGTCACTCCATGGTAATGGTAGCTGACTGTGGCTCAGTTAACAGATTTCTTTGCATTAAAGCTTTAAAGCATCACTTTAGTGTCTCTTTGTGATTTGAAGAATTCCTGTTCACATGTTTCAAAAAAGGCACTGATGACACCCCCACGTCCATAGCAACGCCTTCCTTGGATACATAGTTATATGTGTGCAAATGTTTCAATCTGATTTTTAGCATTTTTACAAGTCTATATTATATACTGGGCCGGTTCTAGACAGGCATACATGAGGGGGCAGAGAGAAATGTAAAGACAAGACAACACTCTTTGCAGTCGTCTTTTCTTGCATCATTTCTCCTTGTGTCCTTTCATCTCCTCCTTCTCCGTCACCTCATCCACTCGATTCATTTCTGTGTTGTAACTACTCTGCAGTGACTAAATGTCATGACAACAGTTTGTTAATTGGATAAAATCAACTGTTATCTTTTCTTTCTTTCTTCTACTTTAGTAAATGTCCAGGTGAACAAAGGTGCTCCCTCTTCAGGAGACAAAGTGTACATATCACTTATCTTTGACAGCTTGCAGATGGTATAAAACTTTATTTTTTCAATGACAGACTTTTAACGCTTTGTTCTCACTTTTATTTATTTTGTTTTATTAAATACCTTTCAGAATTTACACTCAAACCCAACCCATAATAGCCACACAGTGCACTTTGCAAATCCAACCAGCAGACTTGGGTGGGCGGGATCTAGTCTATGGTCTGCATGTTTGACACCCCTTAAATATTACATCATAGAAAGTCTCATTTTTGACACATTTGAAAGAGAGTCTTTCCAAATTTCGTTCACAATTTGACCTTGATTTGACCACTAGATGGCACTCTGCGCTCAAAAATATTTATAGTGTACATCCAACAACAGGAACAGAATAAACTGATGCGGTCAGAGGCACATCATTCTTTTGACTAATTCTCATATTAACATGTAAAAAATAAAATA